GGTGATCCTTTTTCCAACTCCGTGATTCTGGTTTTTATTTTTTTCTGACATGTTGGTGTTTTATCTTTCACTTGGATGTTAAAAGTTGCACTGAGTACTAAATACAGCTGGATAAAACAAAAACTGTGTCCGTCTTCATTTTAGGCTGCAAAGCAACGAAATATGATCATTTTAAAGGGTAAATGTAAATGTATGTTATGCATAATGATTCATTCCAACCTTCCAGCTCCAGTCAGAGAGGTCGGCTGGTTGAGAAAGTATTGGTATTTCTTGCATCTAGCTGGATGGTGCCACACTGCATCAGGGCCATGTATTACACAAACCTGGAAGATGAGGTAAAAAGAGCTGATTTAATTACTAGAAACAATTTGAAAAAGGGAAAGGTAGTGAAGTGGCACAAACCTTGAAGTCCTTAGGAGTTTTGGTTAATCTGAGGGGTCCAAGTCTGTCTTGAGGACATGTGGTCAGGGGCGTAGATTACGCGGGGAACGTGTCCCCCCCCACACACACACACACTCTTTTAATATCACGTAAATTCGTCCCCCGCACTTTTTCGGATCGCAGATCGCATTTAATTTATCCACACCCCAAACAACTCTATAATATATGAATTTTTTTTTTTTAACATTTATAACAGCCCAAGAATATCTATATACATATAGAATGCTGCACCAAACAAATTCGTAAGGGGAAACATGTAAACAACAAACCAACTCCATAGCGGATTCTAAGTGATCAAGTGCTTAGGTTGTTCCAGTTCAGACCATTCCAAGGGTTCCGCCAGTAGTGGGCACTCGTGCAACGTAATCAATGACGTACAACCGAGTAAACGAGACGGAGGGAAGTTTGTGAGTGAAGGGCATAAAAAATGGACTGGAACGCAGCCCTAGTGTGTCTCCTTATGCCGAGTTCACACTGCACGATTTTCAAACTGGTCGGATCGCCGTTGTTTTCACACTGCGTGACTATCTGAGGTAGCAGTCAGTCGCTGCTGTGTTCACATTGCAGGATGGATCGGCGACAGGGGGTTTCACACTGCATGACTTCACAATAGGAAGTGATTGTCACTCGCGTGAACGAGCATCGATTTGCCTCCGATGTCGGGCATTTGTCGGCGATTTCGCAAAACCTGTCTGCGAGTGAAAAATCGGGCTAATATCGTGCAGTGTGAACTCGGCATTAGTCCCCTCGATTAGTCTCTCGTTATCCTGTGTTTATAAGCCCCAGTCCGTTCAGTAAGTGTTGGTCGGGTCTACTGGTTATGTTCGTGTGTCATAACTCGTTCCTGTTGTGGATTTACCTCTGTGATTGTTCATTAAAGGGGTCATATGATGCGATTTCAAGTTTTCCTTTCTCTTTGGAGTGTTACAAGCTGATTGTGCATAGATAAGATCCCTGAAGTTGCAAAGACTAAAGTCTCAAAACCAAAGAGATATTCTTTATCAAAGTTAAGACTCTGTCACGCCCCCCTAAAACGGCTCGTTCTAACACGCCCCCACATATCTATGTCACTATGTGGAAATATTTGCATAATGCGCCCAAATGTGCACGCAAAGAAAGAAGGCGTGGTTTCAGTAACCGCAGTTAATGTTGAAGCAGCCATGTCAGGAAGACGCTGTGTGTTTCTAGGCAAAAGCAAAAGCACTATATTTGGCCTTCCAGAAGTAGATGCATTTAGGAATCTTTAAGATTACTTACAACAGAACAGCAATGTAATTAATTTTAATGTAGTTATAAATATAAAAAAATTACACATCAAAATTAAGTTACATAATAAATTATCTTCAGAGGTTATTTTCTTCTCGACAACCATTTTTTCCACTGTTTAACTTTCTTGAGTTGTTTATTTGAGATTTTAAAAAAAAATAAATTCTTGATCGGTAACTAAGAGGTTCTTCGGATCAGCATCTTGGTTGTTGGGTTCTTTAAAAAATATAGATAAAACTATAATAAGGTTTTTGTACAGCATCAGGCCGTAGGTTTCTAATGTTTAAAAAAGGAAGGTTTCAATGTTCTGGTTCCCACCTCTGCTGAGGACCAACACACTGAAGCATCTTCAGATACTGGAAGACTATATGAATGACCTACAACCACAATAAAACATTTCATTATTAATGTCTACCGCATGGTGTAGCCATATGGCAACATACTCTTTGTGTTAATTTCCTTGCCACTGTCTCTTTAAGAGAACATTCTCGTTTTTTTTGTTGGAAAGAGAAGACCTTAGTTTAGCCAATGATGTCCTTTGATTAAGTCACATGACATGCAGTTTTTTTTCTGTGGGGAGATTTCTGACAGACTGCTGTCTCTTGTCGGTAGTTGCTGAAAGCAAACTAAAACGTCAGTAACAAACAAGGACCAGTCCGTGTCACTTCTACAAAAAAATCTAAAACATCACTGTTATGATGTTATGATGACATATTCACCTCTCAAAAAAGTTTTTATAAAATTAGTTTTTGGTAAATCATTCAAATGTGTTGCCAAGCGGCAACACTGTGCAATAGTGTAATGACATTATTACAATAGTTTAGCTAGCTAGCAAGGTCAGCTGCAATTTGTTAAGCTGTAACAATAACAACATTAATACTAGTGAAATAATGTTGATTAGTCGTATGTTAATGGCATTTGTATTATGGATATAATCAAATTGAAATGGAAATTTTACTTTTGATTAAATATGAAAACAGGTAACATTACATCAGTGAGCACGGGGAAAAGAAAAAGATTCAAATATTTTTTTCTATAGGTCTATCATAATGCGTGCGGTAGAGGGTGAGAAGAATAAAATGATTCAGACCATATAAAAACAACGGAGGACTGTAATTGAGTAAACATAAAGGGTTTTTTCAGATCTGGAAGAAGTTCTGGAAGCCCTCGTCGCTCAGGGTGATTGAAACACTGAAGTAGGTGGAGGAGGAGTAGGTGGTGTTCTGATCGAAACCCGACTCCTGTTTCCTCCAAACAGAGCCAGAGCCCAGCACCTTCACATGCAGAGCATCTCATTTGGTTCAAACTGATTCATTAGTGATCAGTCTTGTATAAAGAATATCTCTTTGGATTTGAGACTTTAGTCTTTGCAACTTTACAGATCTTCTTTATGCACCAAGAGCTTGTAACACTCCAAAGAGAAAGGAAAAATTTAAATCGCATCATATGACCCCTTTAAATTGAGGTTTAAAAATTACTAAACTGAAATAACAATAAAGCTATATATAAATATTTTTAAAAAGCTAATAAAAAGAAAAAAGCACCTAAAATTAATTGAACTTAAACTAAAGTTAAAAGTGAAAATATAAAAATAAAAGGTAATTAAAAATATGAATCAATACTCTAATAGTATATAAATAATAAAATAACACAGCTAAAGATAGATTTGATAGACAGACAGATATTCGTTGTTTAATCTAAGACCATAAATTAAAATTCAGATTTTTTAAAATGAAGAATAAGGATACTGTAATTAAAGCTCTTTGTTTTAGTGAATTTTGAGTTTTGAAAGTTTTCATTTCAAATAGTATATACAGTATATATCTATATTATACTGGCCATCAGCATAACATACATACAATGACAGACATGACACGTAAATATTACTATTATTATTGTTACAAATTGCATCTAAAAGTAACATTTATTTTTATATTTTCACAACTGTACAATCACTGTACGCCCCAGTGCAAATTGTCTACAAATCAAAATACACTGACAGCAAAGGTACAACTATATATTCCAGCAGCATAAAAATAAATATCTACTCAGAAAAAGAAAAAGTAGCCTATAACATCTGAATTAAAAATATCTCATTTGGAATATTTTCGACTATAGTTACAGAAAACACTCGTACGTCACTTGATAAAAATCCAAAGTAGATTATACATACACGAACCCACAAGGATTTGCTACAAGTTTCTGAAATATAAAGACATCCTGGCACGAGTTCACAATATATCTTGTCGTTCTGCTCGAGGACTTGAGTGAAGAATAATATCTTTTGAACGTCACCTGACTATGAAATGTGCTGATTGTGTTCAGTCTATTATTACTCACAACTGTTACATGTGGTTTCTGACAATACTAAGTTTAACATGAATTTAATATCATATTTTTGTGTAAGACATGAATTTTATTTAGCGTACCTAATCATGAATTCACTAAACATCACATTTTTTCTCTCTTAACATAAAGATAGCTTAAGCAAGTGCTCATTTTCTCAAAACACATACTGTGCTAGCAGTTAATAGATGGAGTCCAACATACAATGTGCATCTGCTTCTGATCCAATCAAATCAGAGCATTGAAACCACCCTGAAAACTGCATAATGGCCATTTTGCAAAAGTCTGAGTTTATATTTGTGCCTTTTAACATAATATACACCATTTTACCTTCACTATTGAGATAGTTCACCCATTTTAGATCCAAATAGCTGCTGGTAGCCATTCACTTCTATAGTATTTTTCTCCATACTATAGAAGTCAATGGCTACCGTCAACTGTTTGGTTAACAACATTCTTCAAAATATCTTCTTTTGTGTTTAACAGAAAAAAGAAACTCATAAAAATTTGGTACAACTTGAGGATGAGCAAATGATGACTATTTTTATTTTTGGGTGAACTATCCCCTTAAAAGTACTCATATACTACACTCAATATATAATTCATAAGATTAGCAAGATTGTGCCACAACAGATTGTTTTAAATCTAGTTTCAACAGTGAACACTTAAGTTCTGAGAGCCAAGTAATAGTTTTTGTGCTTTGCTCTAGTCCCTGCTTTGAGTTTCCTATGGACTGATTAAGTTAGAAGTGTACTATTATTACTGAACTACTTCATGTGTTTGACAGCTACAAACAAACAAGGGTGCGTTGCCCGCATCGTTAGCCAACTATGATCGCAAGTTCTGTCGCTATCAACAAAGTTCAATGATTCAATGTTTCCCGAAACCATAGTTCCAAGGAACATTCACAAAATTGCGTGGTTGGAACTACAGCTTTTGGCCTGTGGTTAGAAGCATAGTTTCTTGTTAGCATGCCGTCTAAATATACATTGTTTTATATGTATTTTAGCGTGTCTACAATGAGCAGCATTTTTGAAGAGTGCGCATGTGTGTAATTGCATACGGGAACCCTGGAGTATGACGGAAAAGGGAACATGTGATGAATCGTACATCAAATAAAGAAAAACAAGGGGAACAAAATAGTTAAGCAATCCTTAGATGCTACGTTCGTCGAAGTTAGAAATTACGTTGTAGAGAAGATGCTTATTGAAACAACCAAATGTAAAGTGTATGCCAATTACATACTACATGTTAACGTGATTTAAAAAAAGGAACAGCGTTCTGTTGTTTGAGTAAATGAACTATAAACTATCGAATCGATTATTTATCAGAAGTTTTTACTCCAATGCCTGTGTGCGACGTCATTAACGACAATTCTATATTGTTGGACCAACATGTTTAAATGATGAAGGTGCGACCATGTTACTACGATTTCCAGAAACAGTCGTCACTAGCTAGTTAATTTTTCTAACGATGTATCATACTATGAAACGCACCCCAGATTGGTTCCAATCGCCATATAACATAAGATCAAACCAAACAACATTGGATCTGCTGCTGATACGTTGGCATATGAGTCGAGATGGAAATCAGCAACAATTCTGAGGTAGCTGGGGCGGCTTATCGGTTAGCCGGGTGGTTTTGGCACCGGTGACCATGGGTGGATCCGTATCGACTCTCTCGGACATCTTCACACAGATAATGTCAACTAAGCGCTCGAATACTTGTCTGACGTTGATGTTCTCCTTGGCGCTGGCTTCGTAGTACTCAAACCCTGCGAGAAAGTATCCAAAGAAATTAGATGAAATCCAATAAATTGGATGAAAGACTGGACACAACTTACCTAACTGGTCGGCCAAGTGTTTCCCCTTTTCAAAAGGCACCACCCTTTCCTCATCCATGTCACATTTGTTCCCCACTAATATCACCTGAGCGTTATCCCATGAATAGGTCTTAATCTGTGTTGCCCTAAAAGGAAAAGTGCATTTATGTCATATAACTTCAGTGGATAAAACTCTATGGATTCCGGATTAAAGCTGCTCACCAGTCCTGCACTGCATTGAAGGACTCTTCATTTGTGATGTCGTACATGAGGATGAAGCCCATGGCTCCTCTATAGTAAGCTGTTGTAATAGTTCTATACCGCTCCTGTCCCGCTGTATCCTATAGACAACACAGAAAATTCACAAATTCATTATACATTTATGCCAAAAATAGTAGTTGTCAGAGGCCTGGCATATTGTTTAGCAAACAAGATACACATTGAGCAGTGGTGCTCATTCAGGAGATGCAGGATTGAATCCTGAACCCATTCCTCCCTCTTTTCCCCATTATTTCCTCTTTATTTTTGCTATGTTATTTACTAAGGTAGATGCATTTCATTTGATGCAGTCAATTCAATCTATCTATCTATCTATCTATCTATCTATCTATCTATCTATCTATCTGTGTGTGTGTGTGTGTGTGTTTGTAAAACTAAATTAGTGTTGTCAAATCAATTAATCACATCCAAAATAAAAGTTTGTGTTTACATAATATATGTGGTTGTACTGTATATATATATATATATATATTCATATAGATTTTATTCTATACATAAATACAAATATATATTACATATAATTCTTAAATACACACATATATATTAATTTATTAATTTGATTCATTGTAATCTGTATAAACTATAAAAAATACTTATACTTAATTTTGCACTGTATACACTTTTTTTAATTAATTTTTAAATAATGTCAAAATAATTTTTAAATGATCAAAAATTTAAAAAAATAACTAATATATAATTATCACAGGTAAAGTAATCTTAAGTAATTTTTTTTATTAAATTATACATTTTATTTATTTAATCTCATGACTTTTCAATTTCTGGAAAGTCAAAAATGCAATACAAACTTTGGTGGCATTGTTATTTATAACAGCGTGACATATCATGACCTTCAATGCTCCATGAATGCAACAGATACAAAACATGAGGAGGACAAACTAAATGAATGGTTTAGTGAAACGTCGTAATTTCTCTATTTTAGGCCCGTCTTTATTTAAAGCCCATTTTGTTTTGTTCCACTTGGCGCCAGTTTCCCTGCAGCTGTTTTGAATGAGAGCCTATTTTTAACACCTCACGATCAATACACCCTGATTATGAATTATCCAAAATTGTGGTTGTGTCTTACTTGTCACCCGGCACTCTCGGGTGCTTTCGAACTCTCTTCCCACCCCTTCTTACCCTCAGGGGCTGCTTTAATTGGCTATGAGGATCTCTCTCTGCCAGGGAGCAGTATGTGTGTTGCTTCCATGACAACAAGCATCGATGATGCACTTGCTTTCTTTTCCTCCAGAAAAAGATGGCTCTCATTCACAGCCTGGTGGAAGGTGATTGTGGAAGGTAGAGGATGCGCCCGTCACATAATACAGCCAATGCGGTTCAAGTTTAATGATGCCAGCCAATCACATTAGAACAACAAACAATCTGGGGCTAAAAATAACCTGATTTTCATTCACATATTACAATATTAGGCATTCAGTTACACCAATAAGCCTGCTCTAGCACTCACCCATATTTGGAGCTTCACTCTCTTGTCGTTCCTGTAAACTGTCTTCACCTTAAAGTCGATGCCGACTGTGCTGACGAAAGAGTTGCTAAAGGAGTCGTCTGCATATCTGAATAAAAAACTGGTCTTTCCTACACTACTGTTGCCAATAATCAGGAGTTTGAACATGTAGTCAAAGTTCTGATCAGATCCATCTCTCTGCCCAAAGCGTTGGTCTGCTTTTGCCATCTGTGAATAAGTACAGGAGAATAAATACATGAGACTATTATCAACCCTGTTACAGGTATTAAGCAGTAGGTTGTATTTCAAAAAATAATATATATATAACTAAATACAATGTGTGTTAAATATTAATTACAGACAAACAACAGTACAGTTACAATACAGTAAATACTGGTGTCCACCCTGTTACTGAATTATAAAAAAATTAATTATAACATTACAATTATTATAAAATGTCATAAATAAAATACATGTTAATAAGCAAATAAATTACAAGCATAAAAATAAAAATAAAAATTAATTAAATGAATTATAACATTACAATTATTATAAAATGTAATAAATAAAATACATGTTAATAAGCAAATAAATTACAAGCATAAAAATAAAAATAAAAATTAATTAAATGAATTATAACATTACAATTATTATAAAATGTAATAAATAAAATACATGTTAATAAGCAAATAAATTACAAGCATAAAAATAAAAATAAAAATTAATTAAATGAATTATAACATTACAATTATTATAAAATGTAATAAATAAAATACATGTTAATAAGCAAATAAATTACAAGCATAAAAATAAAAATAAAAATTAATTAAATGAATTATAACATTACAATTATTATAAAATGTAATAAATAAAATACATGTTAATAAGCAAATAAATTACAAGCATACAAAAATATAAATAAAAATTAATTAAAAAAAACAGGACCACCAGCTGTGGTCTATGTAGCCTATCATCAAAACAAGTCTTGAATGATGCATATGCCAATGCATAATTTCATGCCTTCATTTCTTATTACAGTGGTTTGTTTGGCAAAAACAACGTTAAATCAACATAACAGGTTCAGCTACACGATACATTTGGCATCTAAATCCATTCACAAGGATAAATATCATTGCATAATCAGAGGATGTTATTTTGACCACGTAAACACACGAGCTCGTTCATAACTGTCATTGAGATATTAACGACATTCACCAACAAACATCCATAAACGACAAGCAGCAGTCAATTAATGGCATATGATGGAGAAGCTCACCTCGGATTTAAGCGCAGCTCTCGTCTGGTGCTCTTGTAGGTGGGCGTTTATGGACGCTGCAGCACCTGACGACGCGTGCTCACCGACTCGGCTGTGAACGCGTCCAAAACGCCTGCTTTTACGTGCGTATTATCGCGTATATTAGCGAATGCCAGTGGTTTTATGGAGATTTATTGTCGGGTTTATTTGAAAGCGCGCTGTGTACAGTAGGGTGGGGCAACGGCGACAATTAACCGACGTTTAACTACCGTCGGTCTAATTCAGCGCTAAATGCAAACGATTAAAATCAGATTAGGAACAGATACTGCGACCCAAAAAAGTATTTAAACACTTATGCCACACTGAGAAATGAAATGTCTTTGCCTTAGAGATTATAGAAAATATAATACCCCGCATAGATAGATAGATAGATAGATAGATAGATAGATAGATAGACAGACAGATAGATAGATAGATAGATAGATAGATAGATAGAGGTGCATCTCAATAAATTAGAAACTACTTCAGTCTGTGTGCATTGAATTTATTTAATACACGAGTTTCACAATTTGAGTTGAATTACTGAAATAAATGAACTTTTCCACGACATTCTAATTTATTGAGATGCACCTGTAGATAGATAGATAGATATTTTTTTACAAAAAGTTTTACATTATGAAATATTATAGAAAAAAAATAAGCGCGCGTTTACCATTTTTAACTAAAAATTAAAAAACTTTATGCATTTTGGCCATAGATTTACACGACAACAGCATTTTGGAGGTCTGAAAATGCAAACTTTTGAAAACTTATTTCAAAATACAAGTTCTGAAAAAAAAATTATACCTCGTCATCTTCGTGTAAACTACAAAAACGCAAATTTGTGAAAACAACGGCGATGTCGTGCGCATGCGTAGGCCTATTACATGTTCGCCTACTATGCTTTATTACAAAGTGACATCGTCAGCTGGCCTGGAATGCATTATACAGCGTTTTGAATTCATTTTCGTGGATCTGTGTGAACGGAGATAGTTTTAAAAACGTTGTCGTCTGTACGTGAAAAACACAAAGGAATTGTTCTTATGTTTTTAGCACTTCGTTGTCGTGTAAACGTAAAGTCACTCACACTAGCGAAACTTTGCGGGCAAAATAATAATAATAATAATAAAATAAATAAATCCTTTCATTCTCTTATCGTTCATGTGAATTGTATTTTATTAATAATGTGATGTTAATAACGAGATTCCTTTTGAAATGATTTGGCCAGAGAAAATTCGCAGGGCACTGCATGGCGCGAAATTTCACCAAAATGCGCAGAACTCTCGACACGGCATTTGGCGCTATTCATTAATTAAAATCATGTTTTTGGAAATTATCTGTCCTTATTCTTAATAAATTATAGTTGTATTTTAAAAGCTTAAAAGATGCTTGATGCTATGAATATTAGAGGGCGTTTTAAAGCACAACGTGCTGAAACAATTTCGACAATATTCACAATATAGCATGGCCTTTGTACACCATTTCTAAAATGCAGTTTTTGAAATATTCTGGCCAGCTTTAGGAATCAACTAAAAATGAGGTCAGTTGGTTAAAGGTCATCAGTAAAAAGACTCAGAAAAGTGAAGTTGGTTTTGAGAAATTCTCAAGCATTATTTGCATATGTCACTTTTATATTTTGTTTTCCAATTTTAATACAAAATACAGAACTAGGTACATACATACCACACCAAAATGTGAGGCTTTATTATGAATAGCACCCCAAAGGACATACAAGAACATTGGGTCCTCAGGGTATTTCAGATAGTCCATTTATGGATCTCACTCACCAGGCTACAGGTGTGTTTATCTCAGTAAAGAATGAGGAAAGACGCCTGTATTTTTTAGTAAACTGGCTTGAACAACTTAACTGTTATCTAAGTTCGATAATTTGAAGTAATACTATACATAAGGAAGAATTAAGTGCACCATTTTTGCATGAAGTGGATGACTTATTTTGTGGGAAACATATCTATGGCATTTCTATCCAAATAAAAAGCTTCCTTTTTCCATTTTAAAGCACAAAATTATCATACAATCACACTAGTACTGTATTTCGTGCCAAATGCTAATGAGTACATTTACTGGGAGTCAAATGAGAACTGAATCTGCTAATCTAATGTATGTATCGGTTTTCATATGTGATATGATATCTATTTTGAGATTATTTAACACATATCTATTGAAAGGCAACACATTATCTTCTCATCTGGCTGCAGAGACTCTCACAGGCCTCCATACAAAGTTACAGAGCGCTGCTTTCCCAAAGCGACAGTACACATTAGGCAACACCATATTTATTGCCTTTGGATTATTTTATAGTGACTGCTGGTCCAATATCACTTTGTTCGAGTTCTGCTATCACAGACATGTGTTTAAACTCTGCCGGTTGGTGGTTGAAGATCTCGACCAATCGGAAAGTCTCAAGCTGCGATCCATAAAACAGCTGCACCTGATTGGCCAAGCACTGTGCCTGGTGGACAGTCTGAAAGAGGTTTAAAAAAAGGAATTAAAAATGGCACAGATTGCTTTGTTTTACTTAGTACCTTCATTTAACTTACCACAAATTTACTATCCATCTCAGCAGTCATCAGCACGATGCCTTTGTCCTTCTGCAGGTCTGTATAGTGGTATAAAATAAGCTGGCTGGGTGCGTTTTCTCCCATTGTCTGAAATACAAATCAATTTCAGTAACTATGCCAACAGACAGTGTGGAATTTACATTAAATGTAAAAAAAAGAAGAAAAAAAAAGAAAATACCTGAACATTGATTAAAGATGTGAAGTGCAGTTCATGACCTGCCCACTGGCCGACAAAAAACTCATAGCCCTCCTTCTGGGGCAGAGCGTACAGAAACTGTGCAAAGATTACATTATCATATATTATATATATATTATCATAGATTATATTATATATCATTAGTACAAAGATCACATTGATACTGAATTTCACTTTCTGGTAATGTACATGCAGGTACGCAAGGATGAGAATCGTAAAAACAACTCTTCAACTCATTATGTGATTTGTTCAGGGATTGGACTACACTGGTTGTGATGTATTTTTGATTCACTACAAAGAAACGACTCAATGTGATTTGTTCAGGAATCAAACTACACTGGTTGCCCTATGTGTTCAATTCACTAAAAAAAGAATCTGTCTCATTAAAGTGATTCATTATGGAATCAGAATATGCTGGTTGAACTGCATGTTTGATTCTCTAAAAATAACTCACTCGTTACAGTGATTCATTCAGGAATTGGACTATGCTGGTCGCTTGTCATTATAGTGATTTGTTCGGGAATTGGACCTCACTAATATTATTGTATTTGATTGACCAAAAAGAATCGCGCTTCAAGTGTTTGATTCACTAAAATAAATTGGCTCAAAAGAATCGTTGGGATCAAATGACACTAGTCGCGCTTCAAGTTTTTTATTTCCCTAAAAAGAACCGGCTTATAATAGTCATTCATTCAGAAATTGAACTACACTAGTTGTGCTGTATATTTGACTCACTAAAAAGAACCGACTTACTAAACTGATTCATTCGGGAATCAAACTATGAGTGAGTTATTTACAAGGTCTGTTTCATGCTATAGATTCATTAGAAGTATTATGGAGCCACTAAATAATTAGTGCATTGAATAATTAAGAAGAACAAGCACATAACAACATTATCATATTTTACAGTATTTTTCTTGGTTCCCAACCTTACTGTTAAGTTTTACAGAACATCAGAGGCCACAGATAGCCTATGAATAAGATATTCAAAAGACAAACTCCTCATCATGATTAGACTCATGAAAGATGCTCTTGAAAGGATCTATTACCACTAAGTGGACATTTAGCTGGGTTATTAGATGGTATGATGCGTGACAATTTAAAAAACACATACTTACCATTGGGCAAGATTTGGCACGACCAAAAACAATATCAAATGTTGAGCCCTATGACAGAGAATTACAAGGTCATTTATCTCTGGTAAAACCACCGATCTGATGATCTTAAATTTAACTACTCCTCACAATAAATTGAACTGCTTTGAAATAAAAAGCAGTAAATATTAAGTTAAAGACAATATTGAATTTATTACAGGATTGTTAAGAATTTATTACTTTGTTATTACAGGAGTTAATAGACTGATATATAAAACAGAACTCACTGGTATGACGGCACTGATTGTGTCTTTCTTTGAGAAGTACTGCATCCACAGCTGCACACAGAAAAGTAGGCATTTGGTAGGGCTGCACGATTATGACAAAGATCATAATTGTCGATTATTCCCTTGAAATTGTAATTGCGATTATTAATTACGATTATCACAATTTACATTGAATGATGTTTATACCATTGTTTGAAGCAACTGCATGCCATATTTTTATATGAAAATAAACAAGCTGAAAACACTCAAACTGAAAAACTTGTATTGCTTTTCTATAGCATTAAACCTCAAATGTCAAATATACATCGGATTGGTTTCTTCTTTAAATATATGCATATATATTTAAAAATATGCATGGTATTATAATGTTATACTAACACTAAAATTGAAACAATGGAAAAACCCTTAAGATAACATGTAGAAAAAAAAAGCACATCAGAATAACATAAGTGGACTTTTACGTATTTGTTAGGAACGATTACATAATTGTGGCATCTGTCATTTTAATCGCAATTAGAAATTAGATTAATTGTGCAGCCCTAGCATTTGGTGTGGTACTCTATTTCATATTTTTACTTTTTTTTCTCTCAGTACAGTCTATCTGCATGTTAAGACTGTACAAATGTGTTGTTTTATTAACATTCTTCCTCTTACCTCTACAATTTCAGATCCAGATTTCTCCTGAACCATATCAAGGTTGAGAATAGACCCTAATGTCTATAAAATAAGAAAAAAAGCAAAAGATGCAAATGACAAACTATAAATCTCTAATTTACCATTTAAATACTAAGGAAGTAACTATTAGTTTACCTTATCTTTGGTGAAGCCCCCAGCTCCTGCTTTACCACGTTTGTCCAGCTACAAATACAACAACATGAGCAAATGATACGTCTTCTTACATATTAGATTATATTATTATATATTACATTTATTAAACAATATTGTATGGTTTATAATGTTAAATGATATATTAAAATAAAAAAATACAATAAATACCATTTAAATAAAACACATAATAAAATACAAAAAAATAACACGTTATTTACAAGTAGGCAACAAAAATCTAGCAGACCACGAAGGTAAATTTAGAAATGAAAAATGAAAATCAAATGTAAGATGTGCTCATCACCTCTTTCTCCATGTACTTCACGAATTCTGCTTGTCTGGACCGTCCGAGCGGCTCCGTCTTCACCTCACTGCGCTTCTCCAGCCGGACTTTATATTCTTGAGGTTTTGACCTGATGTTACAGTATTACACACGCGATTAATATTAATATACAGAAACTACATATTAGCATTTGACAGCTGCTCACCTCCGCAGTTTCCTGATCTTCTCTCTAATAAACTAAATGCTACAACAAACAAATTAATACAAATAAATAAATAACACTAACACTAAATAAATAACACTAACAAATAAAAAAAAGAACATTAACAAATAAATGAGGCAACCAACCAAACAAGTAAAGGCAACCAAAAAAACCCCCCAAATAATTAACTCGACAAACAAACTAACTAACTAAACACGAATGAATGAATGAATAAAGTACTAATACTACTACTAAATAAATAAATAAACCTTAATGAACACTCTGAAATTAAGCAAAAAAACAAAAAGGTTGGCAGAACAAAAAATAAAACGTACTCTCCAAACTCTTTCTTGATTTCTCTTGTCCACCTCTGACAGATGTGCCTAAAAACAAAATCAGATAAATTGAGATTAACTACTACTACTAATGTTATTTTTTTAATATACCATACTAGATATCCCACTGCGCACCACCTGCACAGCTAGAGCTCCTGCATTCTCACAAACACGATAACAGGAAGCTGACAGCTCCACGCGAGACCACCTGAACTCCATCCTGTGTTGGCAGTCGAAAAAGCCAAGAATCACATTGGGTCTGAAATTATATTGTCTAGAATTAAGACAGAATCCAGATCATATTTGGAAATGTGGAATACAAGTCTTACTCGCACCAAAGAAAATAATAAAAAATAATGTTTATTTCCAGAGGCAATGAAATATCTCTCTGTATTCTCTGTATTTATATTTTTATTTTAAGATATTTATATATTTTATTATTATCTTTATATTGTTTATATTATTGTATTACTGTATATTGTTGTATATATTTATGATTTATATTTTATAAAAATGCAGATCCATTTGAACCAAATGACTCACTGAATTCTTGATTTTAAGAAATATATAGCTATTAAAATGATATATAAGAAGAAAGATATATTTAATTATCTCCAGGCCTTTAATGTATTTGTGTGCATGCGTGTGTGCAGAGATAGATATACATATAGTACATATTCAAGGCCAAGAGGTAATGAAATAATTCTCTATATTATAATGTATACTTTGTAATGCATTATTATTTTGTATTATTTTATATATTTATGATTTATATTTTATGAAACAGTTAATCATTTGACCAAATCCAAATGACTTACTGAAATTGATAGAAAAACAATAATATTATATTAATATATAAATGCATAATATTATATAATTAATATGTTGGAAATATTAAAATATGAATATAATTTGATATAATGGAATATTTCTCTGTATTGTCATTTTTATTTTGATATATATTAAATATTTTTTATATATTTGTTTGTATTATTTTATTATTGTATTATTTTACTATGTATTTAATTATATTTAATATTAAATATCATATATCATTCATTTAATATTTTATAAAAATGTATGTATATATATATATACATATACATATATATATATATATACATACATATAAATTATTAATTATTATAAAATCACATTCAGTGAGCTCAGAGAGTCATTTGGTAAAATTATTAGCAGTTTCATGTTTCATTTTGTGACTATTTCAAGCGATCTTGGACTTGTACTGACACCTGCTGGTGTGGATAACATTTTTAGGCTGTCAGAAATTTGCAGACATATTTGTCACCCTTGAGTAATTCATTTTCCAGCCAAAAGTGTGTGATACTACTACGTGGGTTACTGAAACTAAGTGCATAATTTTTAGCCGATTATTCTCAAAATGGCAGCCACTGTAAATTAAAATAACTTTTTCTAATTTTAGAAATAAAGAAATAGTCCTATTCATTCCTTTATATTTTCAATTGATGATGTTGTATATGCACCTTTAACATTCAATAACTGCACATACTAATGAAAGTTCTGTACTGAAATCTAAACAAATGATCAACAGAAGAGGATAAATACACTTCAGGCAGCATGGTGTTTCCTGCAGGATCTGTGACTTGGAACTCAAAGCTGTCCGCTGTCACTTCTATATCTGCAGGTATGACATAGCGCACTGCTTTCTGCTCCAGATCCTTCTGGGTAAAGCGTCCTTTGATATAGGCACCTATAATAGGAAGAAAATTCATTATAATCTGGTCACAATCTGTGCATATTAAAATGACAGTCTGGACCATCGGTGACCCATGCACCTGCCTGTGAGGGCATTTTCAAGGTAACCGAAGTGTGGAGGCCTTGTGATGGTGAACTCCAGTGTGTCGTCAGGACTGTCTGGATCTGAGGCGCGCAGCTCTTTGGAGGTGATATAGATGCCCTGTTTGCCATTCAGAAGATTCTCCACAGTACTTGGAATCCCTTTGTTTATAACACTGGGTGGAATCTTGTCCAATATCTCTATCTGTGAAGATATAAATTATGGCATAGTTCAGTCAAATCTACAGAGAGCGAACAGTAAAACTGCATTCATGCTGCAATACCACTAGAGGGAAGCATTACATGCCATAACTGGGAAAGCATTCATTTCATAGCCATTGCTCATTGTGGATTAAATCTATATATAAATATTTCAATATTTTTGTTATATATTATTCAAATAATTTTATTTTATTAACAGTATTAGAAAGTTTCAAAATGAAAAAAAAAAAATCTAATTTTTAAGTGAGATTCATTAAAAAAATCAAGTGCCTTGACAATGAGGACCTTTACATTTTATTTTAAAAAGAAATATTATTATAAATATAATAAATATACATTATTTAGGGAAAACTAGTTGTCACTTTTCACTACAATAAATATTTCTCAGGTTTATTTTTAAGTCAAATCACTGTAGTTTAAATCTTGCAAAAATTATTTCAAGTGTATTTGCCTTTTCCCCAATCTTTCCTTGGTTATTAAATGTAAATACATAACAAAAAAATAAATTAATAAGCTATTATATTTATTTTAAAATCGTTTTATTAAAAACAAAAGTGTTTTGACTGGATTCTCACATTTTAGTTTTAAATAAAATGTTATTATAAATGAAATAGAATATAAATATAACACTCCAATTAATATTTCTCAGGTTAATTTTAAACTTACTTATAAATTTAATTTCTGTACCATTATTTTCAGGAAAAAAGACCCCACCTTTTTATAAGCTCTTCAGCTGAATTTAAAAAGCAAAATAATGATTTAAGAAAGAATAAGAAAACATAGCTGCACAATATAAAGCCAATGTGTATGCCCACAAATATTCTAATTAATAAATTGCATACATTTATAACATTTAACCACATGTGACAACTTGCCCCGATAAAATGACAGTTTTGATATTCATAAAAATACCCTTTTTTGAGACAATTAAAATATTAATTTAAAGCCCACCATGTGTTCACTTGTTAACAAAAAAAAAGGATACATTTTAATGAAATATATATGACGATGAAATTTTAGTTTAGAAGTTTTTAAATAATAGAGAGGGTTTCCAAACCACTTCTATCAAAAACACATTTTGGCTCAAGCTAGCAATGCGCATCTTCCGCCAAGTGACGGTGTGCACGCTCCCGCGGGGCGCAAACAAAGTTTTCGGCTGATTCACCGGTTCTGGCGGGAGCGGCCTTCTCTTTCAGTAGCACAGGGCTGGTAGTGCTGGCCAGCGCGTTTGCCGCTTCGCTGACCGCGTCAACGGAATATTAAATTGTGGCGCGGGCCTCGAGAGAGCGACGCTATGACATGGTGAATGGCACCGGACCTGCAGGAGCACCTGGCCAGCAAAGCCTCTTCGTTAACATGCAATTCAACCGGGAGCGCTTTGTTAACCCGTAGCTGGCCTGCCGTGCTCAGTGGTTTGTATACAAGTCGTTTATTTGACAGTTATGTTAACTAGGCTAAACCAAATAAATTATTTTCCTCAGAAAAGTCCTGACAGAAATTGTATGGTAAGCCGTGCCACATCGTTATCACGTTCGTTATCTAATTCGTTTAGAAATCGATGTAATACAATTTGGTGTGTTTTAGTCAATATTTGTTCGCTTTGAGGTTATTGATGTGCTACTGAACTCCTAAACGCTTACTGAATTCACCTTCATGAGATATATACATTTAAAATTACTGTTTTTTTTTTGTGTGTGTCTTGTTTTTTTGTCAAGTAAAATGGACTAAAAATATAGAAGACTCATCCTGCACTACACATATTTTTGTCCAATCAGGTGCTCTCTCGAATGAGAATGCCCCTCCCCCTAATGCCACCTGCAATCACTATGGTATTTTGAAGTACCATGTTACATTTTTGTAAGGGGTTGTAGTTAAAATCAGTGTATAAATTAGTAATTTTGTAGGCATGTTGTACTTGTAAGTGTATCTACTTATATTTTAGAATATTTCCCACTTTATATTGGTTGTGGGGGAATGTTCTCAAATCATAATCAGCCTACCTGTATGGTAAAAACAGCAGGTTCTCTCTTCAGCTGTCCGTACTCTAGATAACCTGTGTTAGTTCCATCAATAGGCTGAAAGGTGAACCTGTCGATCTTGGCCCGTCCATTCAGATGATGGTAAGCTAGATCCATGTTGTTGATGTCCAGTTGTGTGAAACGAGGCTTAGAGATGGGTAATCTTTTCAAGAGCAACTTTCCATATTGTGGGCTTTGAATAACGATGTAGGTGAGATTCTCCAGAGCTGTGTCTGGATCAGTCAGTTTCAGGTCATCAGTGGAAATGGTCTTCATAGAGCCCTCTGTGAGCTCCAGGCCTTTGTTGATAGTCAGGTTTGGTGGTATACGGTCACTGTGTTCCACAGTGAAATGAATGGTACCGCTTCTGGACGTTACACCGTTGGTAACGGCAAAGCTGCATGAGAGAACATATTTTGTGTCAGAAGAGATTATGGGAAGAATTTGGTTGGACTGCTTTTATATGTGAACACTGTTCACTGCCTTGTGTGAAGCGGTTGAAAAAATTCTGACATATGCACATCAGTGAACCTGTGAACACATCAAGTAAATACTGTATTATGAAAATAACTTGTGCCGGTATCAAATTCTCATGTTGCGATTAATTGCTTATGCTTTTATCACGGTATACGGTATTATCACAATATTGAAATTTAGTTTAAAAAAAGTGCTGTCATAATACAGTATAACAGGTTTAATAACTTTTTTCTTATAACAAAAATAACTGAACATTTAAATGCAATAAAGCAATACAGAAAAAATTATAAAGTTAAAAGTTTTACACAGATTAAAGTGCAAAAGAACTATAAAGACCAATAGGTATCACTTTACAATAAGACCTCATTAGTTAACCTTAGTTAATGCATTAACATTCACAATGACCAATAGCTACATTTGCTACAGAAGTTATTAATCTTAGTTAAAAAATACAAGTCTTAGTTCATGTTAGCTCATTAAATAACACAGCTGCAACTCTCGACTTTAACATCCTGTTATTAAATATTGGAATACCTAAGAGTAATAAATGTTCAGAAGAATTTTTCATTGGCAGTTTAACTAATGAATTAACTAATGTTAACTAATGAAGCCCTAATGTAAAGTGTGACCGAACAATAAAGAATCAAAACACTTTCAAACAATATCTAGGGCATGTAGTAGTCCAGATTAAAATGTCAAAAAAGTTTGAAAAATAAATAGCCTATTAAGTCTAAATATTTAAGTATTTGGCGCTGTGATGAACATCATAGCAAATACACAAATCTGAATGACTGCTTAAATCATTTAAACACGATTCAGAAACAGAAAGTAGTGCAGCTGCTTTGTTTACAGGGTTTCCGGGGTAAAGGCTGCATTTAAATGAATTATTATTATTATTATTATTATTATTTCTGCAGTTTAGCGCCATCTGCTGTCAGAGAGTGAAAGTGCGCTTTCATCCAGAGCGTCTCTCACATGTTCCGCCATGTGCTTCTCGTCCGCGCTTGTTTACATCAGAGTGCGCACGCGTCTTTCACGCAGCATACAGCGGTGTTGTGCATTTTGACCAGTTGATCGGAAAAGTATTCTTAAAATGCATTCAACATTCTAAATAATTTGTAATATATAATTATTCACGGTATTTAGAAGTGCCCATGATAACAATATCGTGCATATTCATTACCGTGATATATCGGCACAAGTTGGCAATAATAGTATTGATAGTTTTTTGTGGGTATATTACTATCACTATTATTATTATTATTAATAACAATAAAGTATTTTTATTAACAAATTTTATTTATCTTGTATTTCATTATTTCATTTATCTTTTATCACATTGCTTTTAGTGCAGTTTTCACTCTGGCCTCACACCCTTTAAATGTTGTAAAATCACTGTAACACACGGCCCCTCATGCCTTACTAAAGTCTTGTCAGTTTTACAGCATGTTTTGAGCTGCTATCCTCACCCAACACTGTTGATGCGTTAGAGCAGAAAGATGGGACAGGGAGGGGTGCGAGTCGAGCCGAGTCCCCATTCTACCCTCTGCCAAGCCAATCTGCCTCCCAACACATATTGCCCTGAAGCTGATAATTGCCAGCCATGGTAAACAACACGACTGCCACCTCGCACTAGACTCGCAACCAAACACGCAGGTCCACTCTCACAGCCAAACTGGTGCAACATCTGGCATTGCCATTGTGCCATATTTGCTCGGTAATTGTGCCCAGGGATCCCTGTCTCTGACTACATCTCTTAGAGCCGTATAACCAATGCCAGGCTGAGTTATTACTCTCTTAATAATGGCCATTTATCATCAGCTGTCACAGCAGAGCAGAGGGAGACACAAGGCTCCTAGAAAAAAATAGTCTCCCTGTCTCTTTTGGCCCCCACTGTCGGCCTGGAGTTTGACACACAGGTGTTTGCTCAGGTGTCTCTCCCGAACAGGGAGATCGGCTGTCGCAAGCTGCCTCTTTTACCTCGCATTAACACAAATACAAGCTATGAAGACACAAAAACTGTTTCAAATAATGAATCCGTTAGATATTATAACCAAGTTTTCCCCCAATCTCTTGTGATTGTGTCGGAATTGCTAATTGAAAATACTCAGGCCCCACATGACTAACACTGTAGTGTCCATGTGCTTTGATTGGACCCCATACCACCCCATGCTGTGCTGACTGAACACATTGGCACAGAATACTCCGTACTCTCTCCAAAGGGCCACTCGCCCCTCGTCAGGCTTGGCTCAGGAAGGTTTGTTTGCTCCCAGATGACCCAATGATGAAACCAAGCCAGAGTTTTGGGTGTCAAAGATTCACACGAGAAAGGCAGCACAGGTCAACTGTACGCCCTGACTGAAGTCAGCCTGCTGCCAAATTGGCTGGAAACCCATGCAAACGAAGCAAAAATTTATTTATTTAAAAACCTTTTTATTTTGCCTGTCTCTTGCTACTTGTGTACATAATTTTCAATCTTGTATTAAAAATACTGAGGTGTTGCCATCTGTGGGCTAGGCTAAATTGCACAAATTTATATAATGATATATATTATGTAATGTTATTTATTATTAATTCAAATATATATAGTGTAGTGCACCTTGACGTCCGTACTCATGTCAAAACAGTTGAATTTGTCTTGAGTGAATTTAAACAGGCAGGAGCAAAAATGGCATCTGTGCATTTTGCCATAGAGTATAAATGAAGTCTATTTAATCTAAAAAGAACAATGAAAACCACTGACCTGAAAGAATCACGGTCAGCAAAACGGCTGTTGTCATGAGTGTAGCATACCCGGTTAGCAGCCACATCCATCTGGGAGAAGGAAAGCACTGGAACCCCTGGACTTTGGACCATGTGTAGGTGACCATGTTCAGGTGGGACTGATACAGTGTATAAGAGCTCATCTGGCTCGCTTCCACTGTCTGTGGCCATCAGAATGTCAGTGGTCAGAATGACTCGCTCTCCCTCCATCAAGATCACAGGTTTAGTGATTAGAGCGATTTCACCTGTATGCGGCAAGAAGGTCAGTTGGATTACAGAGGCATATACATGAGTATATGTAAAGCTTTGAAGAATGTAAACATGTTACTTATAAAGCAAGTTATGTGCAAGTAAGCTTATTGATGTTGTATGAGATTTGTTTGTGACAGCAGGGACAGCGCTGGGATCTAGGGCCGGGACTACAGATGTTTGGCCCCAGCTCTGTTAATAATTCATGCTGGGCGTTTAAAGGTGGCTCATCCTTTGCAGCAAAACGTTCTCACCTCTGTTCCTCCAGGATAAGCCAAAATGAAGCCAAGAGGACAATGGCTGCCATGCTTCCATGTTCACCCAACTGGCAAAGTCATTTTGGCCATAGGGAAAGCCATTGTTTTTAATTATACATGCACAGATTTAATCTGTCAACAAAATTGTTTTTCTTGGATTTTTGACTGAGGGAAAAACAAAAGCAGCGATCACTGAGTCACTGGCAAATTGACTTGTCACTATGCCAGTGCTATGATGTCATTGGACAAATTTTGAATGGTCATAATATGTCATTGCATCTGCCAAACTTCATAACCCTGGTGCTTCAAGGAGGAAAAATAAATGTAAAAGTGCTGTTTTTGAGCCGTTCCAAGTTTCTGCTAGGTTTATAGTTATTTTATTTTGTTCAAAATAAAACTTACCCTTTGGAACAGTGCGGACAGAGATGAAGAAACTCCGTGGAGGTGTTGTGTTTTCTCCATCACTGAGAACAAAGTGAAACCTGTCATGGCCTTTCAAACCACTAACTGTAGTGTGAGTGTACCATAGGCGATTCATCTCCACATCCTCCTGGGTGAAATTCTGACCTGGACTCAGGTCAATCCATCCAGCTTCTGTCTGCAGGAAATCACAGAAAATCATATTATTACATATATTCTTAAAATACGTCACACTAAAGGCTGGATTACACTACATGACTTTTGCCCAGATTTGATCCCATTGATGATTCCATTCTGTGATTCCATTAAGTCAAAGGATATCAAACATGTTTGATATTTTGAGCCAATTTTAGAACACTTATAGTTTTCATTTGTCATCCGTCTCCTAGCAATGACAATGTTTGTTTTGTTTGGGTGACTTGAAAGTCTGGTAGTATGTGATCCTCAGTCATTTAGTTTATGACGCCCAATTTTTTTCTCTGTAACCATTTACAAAGTCTGCAAGTGTGTAATGCCTAGTGCTTCAAAATCTGTTCAGATTTTAAGTTGTGTAGTGTATTCCAGCCTTAAGTAATAATGTAAAGGACTATCCGTCCTTGCTAACCCTGAGCTGAAGTAGGCCAAATCTGGGACCTGCATTGAGGATGTAGAGAAGATGGTCGTTGGGAGTGTCATGATCCCCTGCCTCCAACACTGCACTGGAGATGACTCTCTTCTCCAGGGCCTCAACCTCAATGCCTGCATTTCTGAGAACAAAGATCGAGACGCTTTGGACACTAAAGGTACCGGTGCCAAGTCTGCATGCTAAAATCTAGAATCCTAAATAAATAAATACTCAAACAGCTGCTTCTAGAAGGAGGGAACACAAGCAGGACCGGCCTGTTATCCTAATCCATAAGGACTTTAAAACAAGGAAGCAGGCATCTGCCAAAACGACACATTACTTCTGCAGTTGTGGAGTTTACTTGCACACTCTTAGATCTTGCCAATTTTGGATGAAGAGGATGGAATAGACATTAGCAATTTACTCAAGGATGTAACTTAATTCCCAGTTACTCAGTCAGGGAGACACAGATCCCCAGCCACATGTGCAATACAGGTTGTGTTGACCCCCCTTCCCTAAACCCTATCCAGGATCGGCCTCCCCCTTCTGTTCCTGTCCAGTCTCCGCCACTAAAATCCCTCCCCCATTCCAGCTTTCATCCGCCTTTTTGGCTCTGAATTTGTCCCAGGGCGTCCTTACTTTAGTAGCCATGGCTTTTCATCATTGACTGGTATGATGCGGACACACGCAGTCCCCTGGACTGTGTGCCCACCATCTGTCAACTGTATGGTGAAAGCGTCCTTGAGGGTTTCTGTGTCGTCGTGCATATACATAATCTTCATTCCTATGGATCAGCACAAGAGAGAAAAAAAATCAAAAATATTTTAGTGGATTAAGCATTTAGTGACATTTAGGATATAACAGTCATTAGGTACTTGATTCCTGGTAGCCTTGGACTGATATAGCTGGTTCTACCACTACTACCAAGAAGTGGTAGTAGAAGAAGGACACCAGTGAACACGCTCCATTTTGTCAGTGACCTGATCACCCGTGTATCTATGGATCTTTGTCACTTGTTAAACAGCAAAGCTGTGCAGTCACCAAAGTACCTCATGCACGGTGACTTAATTTCACAGAGAGCATTTGGAAAGATTTGCAGATGAAGCAGAAGCACCACAGGCACTCTGTGACCTCTGTCTCCTGCAAAATCTGTTCTGTAAGCCTGGATACCCACAGTGAAGCACTGAGGGGTGGCTGGACCAGGGAAGGGACTCTGTCCTCACGGCCATCCTCAACAAGCAGATAGTGGTACCCCGGAAGTTAGGGGGCAAAAGTTTGTGGTACTACCGATCACATGGATTCAAAAACTGACCTTGTTGTAGCTCCTGTAAGGTGAAAGACTGGATTGCTAAGGTTCGTTGGAGGACCTCGGGGTTCATGTTTTTGTAGCGATTCATCTTGAGACCATATATGCCATTGACCAGTGTGCCATGGGCTGGGGGAACCAGGATGGTCATGGTAAGAGTATCTGCTGGAATATCACCATCCACTGCATTTAGAATATCAGGACTGAGGTCTTTCATCCCTCCCTCCATGACCTATCGCAAGGTGCAGGGCAAGACAATAGTTAGGCAACAGTTTGCTTATTGGATAAATTTGTCTCCAAAAATTATATCTTACTGTGAAGTTGCTAAGCAGCAATGATGGGATCTCATCATTGGTAGGGTTGATGATGATGTAGAATGGCAATGGTGCTGATCTCTGAATCCCATCACTGACAGTGATGGTAAAGAAGTCTGCTGTAGGCTCTACACCCTTGTGCACTGACTGGACATAGTTGATGAAACCCGAACTGAGGTGGAGCTGGCTGAAAGAAACTTTATTTATACAATATGACTTTAGCAATCTGAAAGACAAGGTTTTATAATAGGACACATAATTTAAACAGCACACAAAAGATAAATCGTGATTCTGCCAAGTAGGACATGTTCTTGGATTTTAGGGATAGTAGCTCAGGGCTAGTATTGTAATTCTGTCTCTTAATCCCCTAAATGGTTTATTTTAACTGTTTTGTTCATACAATGAAAGTCACTGGGGATGCAAACAAAAATGTATGAAACTTTTGTGTTTCAAAGAAAAAGAAAGTATTTGGAACAACATGAGGGTAAGTAAATGATGACAATTTTCATTTTTGGGTAAAATATCCCTTTAAGTGTATGTAAATGAGGTCACCTTTTAGCTTTAGGATTAGAAGACAATGTTTGTTTGAGAGGAATGTTGTTCCAGGACCAACAATAAATGTTAATCCAAAAACACACCCTACTTGGCATAGTCACAATAGTTGGGTACATTTACAGGAATACTACTGACCCACTCGGAGTCCAGCATTGCTTTTCTCAAAGCCAGGGGATGGAAGGGTGTTCTCCAGGAACCCATATTTTGGTGGGGTCACCAAGTGAAACATGAGCTGGTCTGGATGACTATCAGGATCATATGCCTCCAAAACCCCCCCACACAGACATGCACTGGCACCCTCATCTACCACAAACATGTTACCTGATGAAACAATATACAGCATAACTAGTAGTAGTAGTAATATTGGCATTAATCATAGAGATGTCATTTTAGAGAGCTAAATGTGACTTCACAGAAGCATGCTTATTTTTTTCCTTCTCAAGAGTGCATCCCATTATTTTTCTTCTTTTCCCTCTCATTTACAGGCAGTTCCCCTTGCTCCCCTCTTTCCTCACGCCTGCTATGCCACCCCACTAACACTCCTTCTCTTCCCCTGCTCTCTCGCTCGGCTCTCTGCCAGCCCGCTGCCACCTGGGTGTTGATAAAGCCATCATGCCAATGCTTACTGGCATCTGCTTCCATTTACTGCACTGATAAATAATGAATGGAGAATGGGCACTGATGAGGTTGTGCTTGGATAGAGCTCTGAAACAAGGGGAGGAATTAAGGGGAGGAATTAATGACCACCAGTCTGGAGTAAAAGTGATAAAACTCGTCCAGTAGCAAGGCAAGAGCTGGATTTCCTTCATTTTCCTGTGCTTAAAACTCTTATGCCAACCCGTCTTTATTCAATGCAAATTAATTAAATGACACAAACCAATTTTTCCTCACAAACCAATCCAGATCTACTACATGGTGGCAACATTGGAGAATCCTCTTTTTTTCTGATGGGGATTAACCGAATTAGGAGATTATAATTGTGATTGAATGAGAAAAGGGATAGAAGACACAATGGACGTGTTGTCTTTTCCAAATGCGGGCCTGTCCATTGTCTTCTCCTCTATGTCCCTATTGTCCAGTTGTTCTCACGGGAAGATGTATCTCTTTCTACTGCGCTTTTTTGCCACACATGCTCTGCTCGCTCTCTATAATCCCAACCAGCTGTGTGTATGGCTGTCGACACTCATACACGATGCCAAGCATGCTAGGATTTTCTGTGGATGTCCCACCGGCACCTAGCTGCCGTCTTCTGCTCATTGTCTTGCTCTGGTCACTGTCCTTCATTGATAACTGCAAAGTTTCTGGCATTAACAGTGAAATCCCCATCCTGGCAAGACGTCTCTAACACCCTGCTTCGAAACGTACATTCGGGGGAATGAAACGCTTGCATTAGCCACACTCCCTGAGCTGGGTATGCGAGACCGCGATTAAGTGATTCATTCACCAAGCTGCAGTCCATCACCTGCCTCGAAAATTCCTAGTTGCTTTATTACTTGATTTAAGCGGATTGTCATTACAATGAATTAATTACACCTTAGCCAAATGCTCTGGTGATTAAATCTAGATTAGAGAGCATCTCTTAATCCATTCGGTCCCTCAACACAATGCAGCACCAGTGTTCGAAATGTCTTTTCTCCACTAAGATATTTACTACAGGCCCTGCGGTAGATGTTTACCCAGCGTTATGGTTGGGACCTGGTTGTTGACGGGCATCACAGTGATGTTGAGGTCATAGACCGGAAGCGTGCCATGCAGGGGGACGGGTGGGGGGAGAGCATCCTCCTGGCAGCAGCCATCTATTGTTCCAGCCTCTCCATCTGACACAATGAGAGTGACAGTGTCTGAGACAGGATCTGGTCCAATCTCACCACCTAGTGAATGGGGAAATGTGTTTATGTTCATTTAATTCACAAAAAATAAATTTAATGTACTTTCAGTCATAAGACATTTACTATGAGGCCTGCCTGTTACATACAGGTGCATCTCAATAAATTAGAATGTCGTGGAAAAGTTAATTTATTTCAGTAATTCAACTCAAATTGTGAAACTTGTGTATTAAATAAATTCAATGCACACAGACTGAAGTAGTTTAAGTCTTTGGTTCTTTTAATTGTGATGATTTTGGCTCACATTTAACAAAAACCCACCAACAAATTAGAATATGGTGACATGACAATCAGCTAATCAACTCAAAACACCTACAAAGGTTTCCTGAGCCTTCAAAATAATCTCTCAGTTTGGTTCACTAGGCTACACAATCATAGGGAAGACTGCTGATCTGACAGTTGTCCAGAAGACAATCATTGACACCCTTCACAAGGAGGGTAAGCCACAAACATTCATTGCCAAAGAAGCTGGCTGTTCACAGAGTGCTGTATCCAAGCATGTAAACAGAAAGTTGAGTGGAAGGAAAAAGTGTAGAAGAAAAAGATACACAACCAACCGAGAGAACCGCAGCCTTATGAGCATTGTCAAGCAAAATCGA